ATGGCACGATTATCATTATAATGGCTGTAATAATCATGACAGCGTTATTATTGGATGGCATCGTGAATGTGACAAAATGTTCTGGACCAAATTGAAGGAGACTAATATGTGCCCATATTTACGTAAATCCAACGGATATCATTATCACATCTGTGGATGTCATCGATTTTCAACCAATGCCGATCAACCGCACTACCTCCTTCTCACCGAGAATAATAGCATATGTTATGTGCCACAAGGTATGATTATTAGTAGCATTCTTATAAATCACATATGTGTTTTATGATCTTTTATCTGTACAAGGTATAATATATCTTTTTTATTTTAGATCAACTATTGATACGGCCACCAAAAAAAATCAATAATATAGAAATTGGAAGATATTTCACTAGATTCGAAGGCACTTATTACGTACCGAATAAAAGCTTAAGAGAACATTATCCAAACGACACCGCTGCAATAGCCAAAATACTTGCCAAGTAGTTTTTATTATCTTAAATTGTACAACTTATAATTTAATATAGATTGCAGAATATTTTCGAAAACATCTATTGACATTTTTCTCAAAAATGTTTTATTTTCGAGATTTCGAGAGTTGTTTTTCGTAACACTTTTGGCAAAAATATATTTCTCAATTTAGCTCTCATTATGAACGATATATATATGTATATAGATATAAAATATAGGATATCATTTTATAAGTTTTGTAAATATTACATTGTAAAAAATATTTTTTGCTGTAGATTTAATTAAGTAAGAAAAATAATGATTTATATTGCATAAAAATCTGTATATAACTTATTAATATGTATTTAAAGATTAAAAAATTAAAATGCAAGATTTTGAAAGGATTATTGTAAATAAATGATTTCGATATTCTGCATATGAGAGAATCTCGAAAATTTTTTTTTTATAACTAAAGATTGTTGTATAGTCTTAGTAGTATAGGGGCCATTATGGGGCATCACAACAAACTCCCTTCACTCGGTCACTAGCGCCAGTGACATCATAGAGGGCCACTATAGAGCCAAAGAGAAGCCTTAATTTTTAAATATAACGTATAGAAGATATTTACAATAAATGTGCTTTCACTTTTTTCTTATTCTTGAAACAAAATTATCAAGCATTTTAAGCAATATCAAATTATGCTTTTAATTTATATATATAGCTTTTTACAATTAATTTACATTATCTAATTAATTTTTTAATTTATAAATTTAGTTGGATGCGCTAGTGCGCACCGATGCACATTAAAAGCGATTATATGCAAATGACACATGACAATAAATACGTTCCGCTTAAAGCTATTTTCGTTCGAAGAACAAGATTCTTCGCCCTCATTTATCCACTAAACGCTTCGGAGCGAAAATAGTATCAAACGGAGTGCATTTATTGAATATATAAAAACTTTTATATATAAAATTTTTATATTTCTTATATTTTTAACGTAATTTTATTTGATTAATAAGATTTTTGCAAATGAAATAACAAAAAAAGAAATGCGATTTTTCGGATAAATTTCAATTACATACAAACTTAAAAATTGGATAAAAAATTTTTTTCATTATTTAAGTAAAAATTATTTGAATTATATCGTATTTGATGTCATTATTTTAATCCTGTTTAAAAATCCCATTAATCCATTAAAATTACTTTTTAAAATAAAATATAAATATTTTAATTTCTATTAGATGGAATTTTTGAATATTATAGATAAGTAAAAAAGTTGATAATAATTCAGATAAAAACTTCTTAAAAATTAAAAGAACACTATTAAAAGGAAAATTTATTATATTATAATAGAATAGACTCCTGTCAGGCTTCTCTCTGGCTCTATAATGGCCCTCTATGACGTCACTGGCGCCAGTGGCCGAATGAAGGGGATTTGTTATGATGCCCCATATAGTAGTCCCTATACTACTACGGCTATATAACATTCTTTACTTAAAAGAAAAAATTTTTCGAGATTCTCTCATATGCAAAATATCGAAATGATTTATTTACAATAATCCTTTCAAAATCTTGCATTTTAATTTATTAATTTTTAAATACATATTAATAAGTTATACACAAATTTTTATGCATCATAAATCTTTATTTTTCTTATTTAATTAAATCTATAGCAAAAAATATTTTTTACAATGTAATATTTACAAAATTTATAAAATGGTATCCTATATTCTATATCTATATACATATATAAATCTTTCATAATGAGAGCTAAATTGAGAAATATATTTTTGCAAAAAGTGTTATGAAAAACAACTCTCGAAATCTCGAAGATAAAACATTTTTGAGAAAAATGTTACAAATAAAAGTTGCAGTTTTAAGTGGCGCAGTAGTTTTAAGTAGCAATGTTAATGTGACTTTAAATAGCATTGTTAAAGTCATGTAAAAATCACTTTTGGATAATACTAGCGGTACTACTATACTTTTCAAGCTTTATAACTCGGAAAATACCTAATGAAAAAATACTTTATTATAGCGTTTTGAAAAGCTCTTCAGATAAACTACAAGAATATGCAATCAAAAATGGGGGTTTTTATTTTAAAATTTCAAAGTGTTTTTTACGTAATCTAACAATGCTATTTAAAGTCACATTAATATTGCTACTTAATGCGCATGTTAAAATCCTACAACTTTTATTTGAAACATTTTTTTCAAAAATGTTTTATTTTAGAGATATTTGACCGTTGCGGGACTAAAACATTCTATATATAACAAGTTGTAGATTTTAAGATAATAAAAATTACTTAGCAAGTATTTTGGCTATTGCAGCGGTATCATCCGGATAACGTTTTCTTAAGCTTTTATTCGGTACGTAATAAGTGCCTTCGAATCTAGAGAAGTATTTTCCAATTTCTATGTTATCGATTTTTTTAGGTGGAATTATCGATAATTGATCTAAAATGAAAAAGATATATTTTACATTGTATAGATAAAAGATCATAAAATACATATATGATTTATAAGAATACTACTAATAATCATACCTTGTTGCACATAACATAGGCTATTATTCTCGATGAGAACGATGTAGTGTGGTTGACGGGCTCTAGATGAAAATTCTTCACTTTCTTCACTTTCTTCACTTTCTTCACTTTCTTCACATGTGCAGATGTGATAATTATGTTGGCCGTATTTACCTAGATATGGGCACTTATTAGACGTGTTCAAATTGATCAAGAACAATTCTGATTCACATTCATGATGCCATCCCATTATTACGCCGTCATGATTATTATGATCATTACCGTTATGATAATCATCATGATGCGTTACGATCATTCCAACGGCAAATTTAACACTTTTTGATCTTTTTTTTAATCGTTTCTTTACTGTCTTAGATGTAACCTGTGGAAATATAATAGCAAAATTCAATCGGTATCTTGTCACACAAGTAATTTTTAAAATAATATAATAACTTAAATAATAAATAATTATAATTAATATATTTTTTTCATATATTGATATATGAGTATATAAATTACATTATACGATGTGTTATAACCTACTTCTATTTTATTTGTAATATATTCGTATTCATATGCAATATTTATCCTCTCAACATCAAATGAGATGCATGTAACTAGGAATTCTAAGAGGATGCAGAAATTCCACTCGTAATATATGTTATGACTACATCTTAATTCTCGATTAAAACTTTGCATTATTTCTAGTGTCATCTGAAAAGAAAAAAACAGACATGTAAAGAAAATTTCAATTACAGACAAAAAAAATAGAAAGAAAAGTTTATTACTTTCACTCATTGATTTAAAATGTATTAAGACTTATTGAAATAATGTATTATTTACTTGGACTTATAATTAATTGTTATTTTTATTAACTACTTAAAATTAATAGAGACAATCAGATATAAAAAATTACTAACCCAAATATTATTGCTTAATGACCTCGGATGAAATAAAAGTAAATTTCCAGTCCCGATATTTCTTCTCCCTCTGATAACGTTTGAGGGATACAATAAATTTGAGCTCTTGCTCATATAAAAGTACTCTACGTTATCTCCATACTTTATATAACCGTTTGTACTGAAAATAAGAAAAAAACATTTATATATTCTGTATATATTTATATACATATACATATATGCGTTTAAACATATAGAATGTATGTTCATTGTTATTAAAACTCATAATTTCTCTAGCAATAGATTGATTAAAAATGTTGTGCATAAATCTTAATTGCGCAAGAAGCTACATTTTTAAAAAGTTCTCAATGAGATTTGATAGCAAGTTCTTTTCAATATAAAATAAAAAATAATTGCCTAATATGTTTTAAAAAATTATACAAACTTTTTTAAAAAAATGCATCTGTAATTTAATATAAAGTCATTTTGTCATTTTGTATATGTTAACACAAAATTATAAAGAATTAATAATTTCCATCAGTGAAATATAATTTATAAAACGTAACTTTTTTAAATCTAAATATGTGAATATGTTTGTGTAAAATAAATAAAAAAATACTTTTGTAAAAAAAATTATATTGTTCCATTTAAAAATCTCAAGATAACTTTGATCTTTTACCGAAAAAAAGAGATATTAATTATTTTTCTGTATGTGTGTATGTATAACGCGTGCACTAACATTTTGTTAAATGTTCGAGGAAAACATATTTTTATGCTACGATCTTTTGTTTCTTATAAATTTAAAACAAATAAGTAACCTAAAAAATTGTAGAAATGTCTTTATAAAAAAGTATATATATATATAATTGCAATATTGAAATATTGAAAGAGTTTTAACAATAAACTAAAATCATACTTACTATTTTGGTTTCCATATGACTGCAATATTTCTTCCATCTAATCCCAGAATGCTATGTATGCCAAGTCTTCTAGCTACGATGTGATACGTGACAGTCAATAGATGTTGTCGAAAACATTCTGCAATCTATGTTAAATTACATTAGAAAAACTGTATATTAAACATTTATAAGATATAAAAATTACATATATGTTTGCACACCGCAAAACAAATTATTATTATAATTTAAAATAACTTACATATTTTATATATTTTGCTTCGAGATCTGATGTCTTTAATAATTGATGCAATTTATGAATCTCTAACTCGGAAAATATATATTTGTCGAGAACACACATAATTTGCTTTGATTCCGTTTCATTCCAAAAATTGTCGTCAATATTGTTATCTCTCCAAAAAGAAAATTGCTCTAAAGTCGTAGAACAAATTGAATGAGCTAAATATTTATTTTTCAGACGAAATAGTACTGTCTGCACTATTCCATCTAACCACGTTTTCACGGCCGAATAAGACACATGTGGCTGAAAATATTGCGCCACGATTGTAAGTTGTTTTTCCAAAAGCTGCTTTGTTTTTGGCATATTTATAAATTTCATTTGCTTATATACAAATCGATACTCTTTTAGACAGTGAAAAATTAGCTTAAAATAATATTCACTTGTCAAATTGGAAAACAGTTTGCTGAAAAAAAATTTATATTTTAATTATACAGAAATTACATTAATTTATAATATCAATAACAATTTAGTTTATTGAATATTTTACCATGATGTTTGTGCAGAAATTCTGTTTATCGCATCCCACACAAAATAATACATTGTGGAATCTTCAGTAATTGAACGCAGAAGACGTTCCAATTGTTCTTTGTCAGTATTACATAACTTATTTTGCGATATCATAATCGCATAATATTGTAACTTTTGAATATGATATAATCCTGTTTCTAGTCTTTCTTTGAATTTGATATGGTGAAATATTTTCTTCTGTTTTTCTCTATTATACTTTTTTTCCGCGGTAGGACAGCTAAAATTAAAAAAGACATTTCTCATGAATTTCATTAAACAACGCCACAATATCAGCAATAAATTTTAGAAAATATACGTTTTAAAGTACATATAAACTTCATAATCAAGGACACGGTAGTGTCTCGCGCCAAGTCACGCGAAGCAAAGATCGCGCGCAGCAATTACATACACATTAATATTCAGAATAAATTAAAAAATTTATAAATAACAATATGGATCTTTTTATTTAAAAAAAAGATATGATTTACTGTTTTAATCAAATTATAATTATCACAATAGTTATGGATAGCAATTTGTACGATACACATTGTTCGGGAGTCGACCTCGACGAGATCGCCGAAATCTTAGAAACGCTCAGAGATGAGCGAGAAGCTGTGTGTAACGCGAATCCGTAGATTCGCTGGAGGACAAGATTTTAGAAAAGACTCGAGTGCAGATTGTTTTAACTATTCGTTTATTTTAGACTGATAGGAGCGAGCGACGGCACGTATTCCGCGATTCCGACGGAAATCTTCAAATTGTCCTGCCAATTATTGCCCTTTTTTCGCGGTTCGGAAATCTTGATTAAGAGCTTCTTGCTAGAAACTCTCGCGAGAGCGGAAATCTTGCACGCGGACGCCGGATGGAATTTGGCGCGAGGCAGAGGACATTCGCGATGCGAGTAACGAGCGTCGACTCTCGGACTCCACACAATTAATCGTTCACAATGTCTTAGCGCTAACGGAGTAACTAATACAGTGTGAGATATTACCGAATTGACCGCCGCGAGAATATGAACGCGATCGGATGCGAGACAATTCGGAACGATTTTGAAACGAGTAACCCTACTAAGTACGCGACACGAGCGAGAATAAGCGAAATGCGAATGAGAATCGTTATCGTAGGCAGACTAAATCGGCCGAGCGCGGAAACTCGCGCTATAACAAGGTTATTTGACGTCGAACTTTCGAAAATTTAGGTGTTTGTCACAGTTTTTCTTTGTTATGATCACTTGATCACGCGCCGCTCGGCTGATTGCGACGATGGTTATTCTCGCTCATGTTTTGATTTCGGCTCTTACTGTTCAGATTTGTCGGTTGAATTTACCGTTTAAATTTATCGACTAAATTCAACGTTTCAATCTTGAACACACATATATGCACAAGGTATTGATCTGCATCTGCTGCAATAATCTCGCATTATTTAAGTTTGTTACTTTAAATCATATTTAAATGAGAGAAATCGAGTGAAAACTAATGTGTAGGGATATTTTTCGTTCTACATGTCCCATTAAAATGAGAACAAAAACTGAAAAAAAATTTTTAAATAAAAGAAATGTTCACGCACAAAATCTTTACAATCTCTCCAAGTAGTTAAAATTGATTGGATATAATGTTTTATAAAATTATAAAATCCATAAAGTTTGAAAGTTACAAGAAAAAAATATGGTTACATCATAAGTTTTAAAGGATATTATTATTTATGAAATGTAAAAAAGATATTTTATAAGCCAATTTTAAAACGAATAAATATAAGAAAACTATAAGAAAAAATAATCAAGGACACGGTAGTGTCTCGCGCCAAGTCACGCGAAGCAAAGATCGCGCGCAGCAATTACATACACATTAATATTCAGAATAAATTAAAAAATTTATAAATAACAATATGGATCTTTTTATTTAAAAAAAAGATATGATTTACTGTTTTAATCAAATTATAATTATCACAATAGTTATGGATAGCAATTTGTACGATACACATTGTTCGGGAGTCGACCTCGACGAGATCGCCGAAATCTTAGAAACGCTCAGAGATGAGCGAGAAGCTGTGTGTAACGCGAATCCGTAGATTCGCTGGAGGACAAGATTTTAGAAAAGACTCGAGTGCAGATTGTTTTAACTATTCGTTTATTTTAGACTGATAGGAGCGAGCGACGGCACGTATTCCGCGATTCCGACGGAAATCTTCAAATTGTCCTGCCAATTATTGCCCTTTTTTCGCGGTTCGGAAATCTTGATTAAGAGCTTCTTGCTAGAAACTCTCGCGAGAGCGGAAATCTTGCACGCGGACGCCGGATGGAATTTGGCGCGAGGCAGAGGACATTCGCGATGCGAGTAACGAGCGTCGACTCTCGGACTCCACACAATTAATCGTTCACAATGTCTTAGCGCTAACGGAGTAACTAATACAGTGTGAGATATTACCGAATTGACCGCCGCGAGAATATGAACGCGATCGGATGCGAGACAATTCGGAACGATTTTGAAACGAGTAACCCTACTAAGTACGCGACACGAGCGAGAATAAGCGAAATGCGAATGAGAATCGTTATCGTAGGCAGACTAAATCGGCCGAGCGCGGAAACTCGCGCTATAACAAGGTTATTTGACGTCGAACTTTCGAAAATTTAGGTGTTTGTCACAGTTTTTCTTTGTTATGATCACTTGATCACGCGCCGCTCGGCTGATTGCGACGATGGTTATTCTCGCTCATGTTTTGATTTCGGCTCTTACTGTTCAGATTTGTCGGTTGAATTTACCGTTTAAATTTATCGACTAAATTCAACGTTTCAATCTTGAACACACATATATGCACAAGGTATTGATCTGCATCTGCTGCAATAATCTCGCATTATTTAAGTTTGTTACTTTAAATCATATTTAAATGAGAGAAATCGAGTGAAAACTAAATGTGTAGGGATATTTTTCGTTCTACATGTCCCATTAAAATGAGAACAAAAACTGAAAAAAAATTTTTAAATAAAAGAAATGTTCACGCACAAAATCTTTACAATCTCTCCAAGTAGTTAAAATTGATTGGATATAATGTTTTATAAAATTATAAAATCCATAAAGTTTGAAAGTTACAAGAAAAAAATATGGTTACATCATAAGTTTTAAAGGATATTATTATTTATGAAATGTAAAAAAGATATTTTATAAGCCAATTTTAAAACGAATAAATATAAGGAAACTATAAGAAAAATTTTCAAATATTATTATATAAGTAAACATTTATACATAATCGTATTATTACACATTTTAAAATTAAAATATAAAAAATCATAAGAGCATTTTAATGTTGTGTTTTTTACGTTTTACACTATAAAATAAAAACTTCTTTATAATCACAAAATCACACAAATTACAAAATATCTCTACACATTTAGTTTTCACTCAATTTCTCTCATTTAAATATGATTTAAAGTAACAAACTTAAATGATGTGAGATTATCGCAGCAGATGCATCTCGATAATACATTGTGCATATATGTGTATCGTACAAATTGCTATACAAAAATAAAAAAGCTAACTAATACAACAGTAAAATAATTTTTTGCAATCTGTATTTTTAATAATTTAAAATAATTTATTTAAAAGAACGACACACACATAATTTTAAGCATGTTATAACCAAAGAAAATAATAAGAAATAGGATAATCTTTATACTCATAATTTAATAATAAAACCGGTAAATGTTTAGTTTAACTTACACCTCACGGATCGTTTTCATTTTCACATATATTATAGAGGGCACATTCCTAAGTAACACGCACTTTGAATTTTGCGGCGCTCTCTTCTGGTTTCAGAGATATGCGATTTTAAAGCATCATAATTTTCGCATTTATTTCTATGATTTTTTCACTATATGTAAAATGAAAACGATCCGTGAGATGTAAGTTAATGTGAACATTTACCAACCATCTTTATCAAATGGCGCGAAACGGATTGGAATTGACGTAGGATATCGAGTCTTTAAATGCATAAAGATTTCGGCTTTACTGAATCTTGACTTTTTACTAAAATCGTATTAAATTATAACATCAGGAGCAGTTTCAATATGTAATAAAAATTATCAGGCACAAATTAAAAAGAAGAACACAATAATTTTACCTTTACTTGTTAACTATTAGTATTTGCGGAGGTACTCCATTGAGTTACGAAAAGTAACTCAGTAAAATTAATATAAACATTTTATAAAAATAAAATACCTCTGATAATATTTCCTCTCACACAATTTGTTGTCATGTATCACTTGTTGCAATCTTGTGCACGTGGAGCCAAATCTTATTAAATCCACGGCGCTGATGCTCTCATTTTGCAAAATGTGAACAATTACTTCGTGAGGCAACTGCATTATTGTAGCCATCGCAAAATATTAAACACTGCGCAAAAGAGTTTGCAATAAACGTTATTTAACAAATAAGCGCGAGAGTTTTCTATATCTTTTTCTTGATCTTACCGCAATGAGTCTACTACGAGCACTGTCCAAAAAGTTTATCTACGGTTGTCTAAGACCATAGGTGGAGTCTTTTTCCGAGTTATATAATGATTTAACTTTGACCAATGGCCAATGCCCAATGACCAATGATCAATCAGGACACACGAAAAGAACAAAGATTTTTCCTTCCATTTCTCTGTCAATATGAGCAACGGTTGAAGGCACGTTCGACATTTATCTAGAAAATATTTTCTAATCTATCGTTTTATGGTATTTTAAAGATTTATGACTTACAACTTTCTTTCAATATTATTTGAAGACCGTTTAAGCTTTATCAGATACTTATCTTATTTATTTATTTGCTAATCTAAATAGAATGTATCGTAGTCGAGTCATAGCTTTCACGAAATTTTCTAAACTCTCGTTCCCCAAGATCAGACAATAATGTAAAATTAACATTTTGCGTTTATTTTCACTATTTTATCTCTCTGATCTTTTTGTTTCTACAGTTTTTTTAAATTTTTATATGATGATTTTTTGATATATTGCATTTACGAGATCGTCTTAATAATATTGATATAAATATTGAATTGAATATTGATATAATATATTCCATATACTTTGTAATTGCGCTGAGGATGGTCCAAAAAAAGAGACTATAAAATATTTTTAGGCAATTTTAAGAATTAATCTCTCTATTAATGTTACAAAAATTTTATTCGTGTAACGATAGCAAAATTTACGCATTTACATTTCAGATTAGATATATAAATTCCTTTTATTAATTTATATATATGTTCATGTTACTTGATCATATATATTTAAGAAAATTAAAATTTTATTGTATTATTTCAAGAAATCGTGCAAATATAAAATTTTGAAATGCAGATTTTATAAAAAGTTACTTATTTAAGATGAAAGAGAAATTGAAGAGACAGATGAAAAGAGTCCGGAGAGAGAAAAATGAAGACAAACAAAGATTGCAAATCCAAAATTATTAAGTGAGAAAACTGGCAGATAAGAGCCAAGGCGCTGGTATTGGTGCGCAAACTTATTATTGTTAAATTTTATTAACGAATATGCATTAAAAATGTATGTTTCGGATCGTTTTTTGATCTATATCAATGATCTATATTCAGGATGGATATAAAAATATAAAGATTAAATTGGGATTTTAAAACTTGACACAATATTTGTTGTTGCAATCAAATTTCAAATTAAAATTAATAATCAGAAAGTAAAGCTCACTCGCGTATATTCTGACAAGAATTTATACAAATTAATGTGACAACGTTTAAACGCCATTGCTACACGTATATTTATATATCATCGGTGATTTACGATATGTTGACCAATGTTAACGGTTGGTATGGTCACAAAAATAACGGTCGCAAAAACGAGTCATAAAACAAAGTCAAACCCAAAAACGATGGGAAAACGGCAAATGTGACAAGTTTATATAATTTTTCAAATTTAATCTAATTGTAAATTGTAAAATTTAAAATTATTGTCTAAACTTATTATTGTCTAAATCATTGTCGTAGCGACCTCAAGTAACAAGAGTTTTCTTGAATTACATTTTATTCAGATTAGCAAGTAAATAAATATCTGACAAAGCTTAAATGATCTTCAATTCAAATAAAATTGAAAAAAAACCATTTAAGTCATAAGTCATAAATCTTTAAAACATTATAAAGCTATAGTTTAGAAAATATTTTCTAGAAAAATGTCGAACGTGCCTTCTACCGTTGCTAATATTGACAAGGAAATGGAAGGAAAAATCTTTGTTCTTTTCGTATGTCCTGATTGGTCATTGGTCATTGGGCATTGGCCATTGGTCAAAGTGAAATCATTATATAACTCGGAAAAAGACTCCACCTATGGTCTTAGACAACCGTAGATAAACTTTTTGGACAGTGCTCGTAGTAGACTCATTGCGGTAAGATCAAGAAAAAGATATAGAAAACTCTCGCGCTTATTTGTTAAATAACGTTTATTGCAAACTCTTTTGCGCAGTGTTTAATATTTTGCGATGGCTACAATAATGCAGTTGCCTCACGAAGTAATTGTTCACATTTTGCAAAATGAGAGCATCAGCGCCGTGGATTTAATAAGATTTGGCTCCACGTGCACAAGATTGCAACAAGTGATACATGACAACAAATTGTGTGAGAGGAAATATTATCAGAGGTATTTTATTTTTATAAAATGTTTATATTAATTTTACTGAGTTACTTTTCGTAACTCAATGGAGTACCTCCGCAAATACTAATAGTTAACAAGTAAAGTTAAAATTACTGTGTTCATCTTTTTAATTTGTGCCTGATGCTTTTTACTGCATATTGAAACTGTTCCTGATGTTACAATTTAATACGATTTTAATAAAAAGTCAAGATTCAGTAAAGCCGAAATCTTCATGCATCTAAAGACTTGACGTGTCACGATAACCTACGTCAATTTCAATCCATTTCGCGCCGTTTGATAAAGATAGCTTGCTATTGCTCGTAGCTAATTACTCATTGTTTTTATAAATTATAATCTTAACCTTTTTTTACCTAAGTTTTATTATTAAGTTATGATCATAAAAATTATCCTATTTTTTATTATTATTTTTTTTTTGTTAAAACATGCTTAAAAAATATGTGTGTCCTTCTTTTAAATAAATTATTTTAAATTATTAAAAATATAGGTTGCAAATAAATTTTTTTTATGTTGTATTAGTAAGCTTTTTTATTTTTGTTTAGCAATTTGTACAATACACATATATACACAATGTGTTATCGAGATGCATCTGCCGCGATAATCTCGCATCATTTAAGTTTGTTACTTTAAATCATATTTAAATGAGAGAAATTGATTGAAAACTAAATGTGGAGAGATATTTTGTAATTTAATTTTGTGATTATAAAGAAGTTTATTTTATAGTGTAAAACATAAAAAAACATAAGATTAAAATGCTCTTATGATTTTTTATATTTTAATTAAAAAATTTGTAATAATACGATTATGTATAAATGTTTACTTATATAATAATATTTGCAAATTTTTCTTATATTTATCCGTTTTAAAATTGACTTATAAAATATTTTTTTTACCTTTTATGAATAATTATATCTTTTAAAACTAATGATGTAACCAAATTTTTTTCTTGTAACTTTCAAACTTTATGGATTTTATAATTTTATAAAACATCATATGCAATCAATTTTAACTACCTGAAGAGATTGTAAAGATTGTGTGCGTGAATATTTTTTTTATTTAAAAATTTTTTTTCAATTTTTCTTATTTTAGTGGCATGTATAGAACGCAATATATATTATTAACGCTACACATTTAGTTTTCACTCGATTTCTCTGCCACATGTGTCTTATTCGGCCGTGAAAACGTGGTTAGATGGAATAGTGCAGACAGTACTATTTCGTCTGAAAAATAAATATTTAGCTCATTCAATTTGTTCTACGACTTTAGAGCAATTTTCTTTTTGGAGAGATAACAATATTGACGACAATTTTTGGAATGAAACGGAATCAAAGCAAATTATGTGTGTTCTCGAAAAATATATATTTTCCGAGTTAGAGACTCATAAATTGCATCAATTATTAATGACATCAAATCTCGAAGCAAAATATATAAAATATGTAAGTTATTTTAAATTATAATAATAATTTGTTTTGCGCTGCGTAAATATAACTATAATTTTTATATTTTATAAATGTTCAATATACAATTTTTCTAATATAATATAATTTAACATAGATTGCAGAATGTTTTCGAAAACATCTATTGCCTATTACGTATCACATCGTAGCTAGAAGACTTGGCATACCTAGCGTTCTAACAAATTGCAAAAATATTATTATGATCATATGGAAACCAAAATAGTAAGTATTAATATAGTATAAATAAGTAAAGTATTATAGATTTTGATCAGACACCCTGTATATATATACTTTTTTTATAAAAACGTTTCTACGATTTCTTACGCTCTGGTTACTTATTTGTTTTAAATTCATGAGAAACAAAAGATCGTAGCATTAAAATATGTATTCCTCGAACATTTAACAAAATGTTAGTGCACGCGTTATACACACACATACAGAAAAATAATCAATATCTCTTTTTTTCGGTAAAAAAACAAAGTTATCTTGAGATTTTTAAATGGAACAATATAATTTTTTTTACAAAAGTATTTTTTTATTTATTTTACACAAACATATTCACATATTTAGATTTAAAAAAGTTACGTTTTATAAATTATATTTCACTGATGGAAATTATTAATTCTTTATAATTTTGTGTTAACATATACAAAATGACAAAATGACTTTATATTAAATTACAGATGCATTTTTTTAAAAAAGTTTGTATAATTTTTTAAAACATATTAGGCAATTATTTTTTATTTTATATTGAAAAGAACTTGCTATCAAATCTCATTGAGAACTTTTTAAAAATGTAGCTTCTTGCGCAATTAAGATTTATGCACAACATTTTTAATCAATCTATTGCTAGAGAAATTATGAGTTTTAATAACAATGAACATACATTCTATATGTTTAAACGCATATATGTATATGTATATAAATATATACAGAATATATAAATGTTTTTTTCTTATTTTCAGTACAAACGGTTATATAAAGTATGGAGATAACGTAGAGTACTTTTATATGAGCAAGAGCTCAAATTTACTGTATCCCTCAAACGTTATCAGAGGGAGAAGAAATATCGGGACTGGAAATTTACTTTTATTTCATCCGAGGTCATTAAGCAATAATATTTGGGTTAGTAATTTTTTATATCTGATTCTCTCTATTAATTTTAAGTAGTTAATAAAAATAACAATTAATTATAAGTCCAAGTAAATAATATGTTATTTCAATAAGTCTCAATACATTTTAAATCAATGAGTGAAAGTAATGAACTTCTTTTTATTTTTTTGTCTATAATCGAAATTTGCTTTACATGTCTGTTTTATTTTTTTTTAGATAACACAAGAAATAATGGCAAATTTTAATCAAGAATTAATATCTAATAATAATATGTATGGCACGTGGAATTTCGACATTTTCTTCAATTTTTTATTTACATGCCTTCAATATGATGTTGAGAACATAAATATTGAAACTGAATACGAACATATTACAAATTCAATAGAGGTAAATTATAACACATCATATAATCTAATTTAATATATTCATATATCAATATATGAAAAGATTATATTAATTATAATTATTTATTACTTAAGCTATTACATTATTTTAAAAATTGCTTGTGTGACAAGATATCGATTGAATTTTACTATTATATTTCCACAGATTAGTTCTAATGTGAATCGATCTAAAATGATGAAACGATTAGAAAGGCCAAAAAAGATTAAATTTGCTGTTGGAATAATTGTAACACATTATACATGGCACGATTATCATTATAATGGCTGTAATAATCATGACAGCGTTATTATTGGATGGCATCGTGAATGTGACAAAATGTTCTGAACCAGATTGAAGGAGACTAATATGTGCCCATATTTACGTAAATCCAACGGATATCATTATCACATCTGTGGATGTCATCGATTTTCAACCAATGCCGATCAACCGCACTACCTCCTTCTCACCGAGAATAATAGCATATGTTATGTGCCACAAGGTATGATTATTAGTAGCATTCTTATAAATCACATATGTGTTTTATGATCTTTTATCTGTACAAGGTATAATATATTTTTTTTATTTTAGATCAACTATTGATACGTCCACCAAAAAAAATCAATAATATAGAAATTGGAAGATATTTCACTAGATTCGAAGGCACTTATTACGTACCGAATAAAAGCTTAAGAGAACATTATCCAAACGACACCGCTGCAATAGCCAAAATACTTGCCAAGTAGTTTTTATTATCTTAAATTGTACAACTTATAATTTAATATAGATTGCAGAATATTTTCGAAAACATCTATTGACATTTTTCTCAAAAATGTTTTATTTTCGAGATTTCGAGAGTTGTTTTTCGTAACACTTTTGGCAAAAATATATTTCTCAATTTAGCTCTCATTATGAACGATATATATATGTATATAGATATAAAATATAGGATATCATTTTATAAGTTTTGTAAATATTACATTGTAAAAAATATTTTTTGCCATAGATTTAATTAAATAAGAAAAATAAAGATTTATGATGCATAAAAATTTGTGTATAACTTATTAATATGTATTTAAAAATTAATAAATTAAAATGCAAGATTTTGAAAGGATTATTGTAAATAAATCATTTCGATATTTTGCATATGAGAGAATCTCGAAAAATTTTTTCTTTTAAGTAAAGAATGTTATATAGCCGTAGTAGTATAGGGACTACTATATGGGGCATCATAACAAATCCCCTTCATTCGGCCACTGGCGCCAGTGACGTCATAGAGGGCCATTATAGAGCCAGAGAGAAGCCTGACAGGAGTCTATTCTATTATAATATAATAAATTTTCCTTTTAATAGTGTTCTTTTAATTTTTAAGAAGTTTTTATCTGAATTATTATCAACTTTAATGTATTTACTCATGATTGTATATGGTCGCTTGATTAAAGATTGTCTGTTTATATATCTTTTTTAAACGTTGCTCTATTTTCGGAATGGAGTACTATTTTATTATAATATAATAAATTTTTTTTATTCCTAATCACCACGCATTTCTGTTCAACGAATTCTCTTCTTCGAATCCTTGTATTGATATGGCCTATCAAATTCCGTTGCTTCAAGATCATAGGGGGTGCTTTTTTTTAAGATATTCAAACGACTAAAGCTCCCTACTATTCTCTCAATTATTGTCTCTTTTTTACTTTCCTTTTATTTAAATATATTAATATAATAAATATAATACTACTGTATCTCTCTTAGTTTGACTATTTCCCCTTTGACCTGTCCGGCATGGATGATCCTACCGGTAACTACTAGCGTTTTCGAGTGAAATTATTTTGTGTGGGATGCGATAAACAGAATTTCTGCACAAACATCATGGTAAAATATTCAATAAACTAAATTGTTATTGATATTATAAATTAATGTAATTTCTGTATAATTAAAATATAAATTTTTTTTCAGCAAACTGTTTTCCAATTTGACAAGTGAATATTATTTTAAGCTAATTTTTCACTGTCTAAAAGAGTATCGATTTGTATATAAGCAAATGAAATTTATAAATATGCCAAAAACAAAGCAGCTTTTGGAAAAACAACTTACAATCGTGGCGCAATATTTTCAGCCACATGTGTCTTATTCGGCCGTGAAAACGTGGTTAGATGGAATAGTGCAGACAGTACTATTTCGTCTGAAAAATAAATATTTAGCTCATTCAATTTGTTCTACGACTTTAGAGCAATTTTCTTTTTGGAGAGATAACAATATTGACGACAATTTTTGGAATGAAACGGAATCAAAGCAAATTATGTGTGTTCTCGAAGAATATATATTTTCCGAGTTAGAGATTCATAAATTGCATCAATTATTAATGACATCAGATCTCGAAGCAAAATATATAAAATATGTAAGTTATTTTTAATTATAATAATTTGTTTTGCGCTGCGCAAATATAACTATAATTTTTATATTTTATAAATGTTTAATATACAATTTTTCTAATATAATATAATTTAACATAGATTGCAGAATGTTTTCGAAAACATCTATTGCCTATTACGTATCACATCGTAGCTAGAAGACTTGGCATACGTAGCGTTCTAACAAATTGCAAAAATATTATTATGATCATATGGAAACCAAAATAGTAAGTATTAATATAGTATAAATAAGTAAAGTATTATAGATTTTGATCAGACACCCTGTATATATATACTTTTTTTATAAAAACGTTTCTACGATTTCTTACGCTCTGGTTACTTATTTGTTTTAAATTCATGAGAAACAAAAGATCGTAGCATTAAAATATGTATTCCTCGAACATTTAACAAAATGTTAGTGCACGCGTTATACACACACATACAGAAAAATAATCAATATCTCTTTTTTTCGGTAAAAAAACAAAGTTATCTTGAGATTTTTAAATGGAACAATATAATTTTTTTTAAAAAAGTATTTTTTTATTTATTTTACATATAAATTTATTAACGTATTTAGTTTTAAAAAACTTACATTTTATATATTATATTTCACTGATAAAAAAATGATTAATTTTTTATAATTTTGTATTAACATGTACGAAATGACAAAATGACTTTATATGCAAAATTACAGATGCATTTTTTTAAAAAGCTTGTATAATTTTTTAAAACATGTTAAGCAATTAGTTTTTATGTTATATTGAAAAGAATTTGCTGTCAAATCTCTTCAATAATTTTTTAAAAATGTAGCTTGTTGCGCAGTTAAGATTTATGCACATTTCGCTTCCTCGTAGAGGAAGCTTTGTTTTCGTGATAAAATTTTTTTTCGGGTTTTCTATGCCAATGTGTTTAGAATGTTCCAAAACGTCGAAAAATCATATTCTTAAAAAATGTATTAGGTGTACAACTTTGCTTCCGCCGTTTTTTTTCCGAAATT